CCCTCGCCCATGCCTCTTCCCTCCCCACTCCACCCACCACAACTGGAGGCAGCTGTGTCCAGTGTGGTGAGGACAGCTGCCTGTTTAGTCTATGGCCGAATCTCCGAAGCAGTGCTGAATCTTTTCTGAATAGATTCGGAGGCTTCTGATTCGATCCGGACCTTTTAATTGGTCTCCTGATTTGATTCGTATTTGGAGATTCGGCCGCCAAATTGGGTCAGATCTCCTCTGCATTGAATCAGCTACTGAACCTTCGCACAGCCCTAGTTATCCCTGCTTTTTTTTTTTTTTTTTTAACTCAATTAAATCTTCTATTTAGAAATCCAATTTTTTAACACTAATACTAGCAGATGCTCTAGTGTACAGATGGGAAGTTGTTTGGTGAACTGTATCCAAGGGCTGTGTGACAAAAGGTAAAAAAAACCCCCAAAAAACTGTCACTGAAAGATGTCTCTATCATATTGCATTTCCCAATGGAAAAACCTCTAGAGGATTTCTGGCAGTTGCTAATAATACTTGTGAAATCACAAACTCCTCAGTTATCATTAAGCTCCTTACAAAGCTTAACACAAATAGGAGGAGAAGAAACAGACTTGTTGTGATATCTCTTTTTTGTGCACCATCTTTCTCACATTTTACCTAATCCTTTCAAGACAGGAATAAAAGTAAAAGAATATGAAGGTAAACTGCCCCCTTTCTCGGATTTTTACAACAATAATCTGTTCTCTGAAGTAATGCCTTTGGTGCACATTTCACTGGCTTTTAAATAGATTCCTGGCTTTCAGGATTATCAGAATTTTCGGCTGTTTAGGTACAGGCTTTAACTTTGTTGGCAGATAGTTCTGCTCAGATGGTACTAGATAGTTCATGGTGAGAGAAACCAGGCACCCTGGTGCACCCTTGGACTGTAGCCAGATCTGCATGGCATCCTCAGATTCTGCAGCTTAATATCAACCCACAGAACCAGATTCTTTGCTCTGCCTTACAAATGATGCAGTTAAGGGAGAATGTGGCTTTAGCCCACTTTAGACTTCACCGATTCTGCACCAAGCTGAAGGTGCAAAGCTAAGATAAACCATCTAGCAAGAGAGAATTACACGAGTCATAAAAGCCAAGAAACCACAATGGCAGGTGGCAACTGCCTACAACCATCTGTGGGCTGCTCTGTTGCTCAGGATAGTCATGGCTCAAAGCACTCTCATCCCTTCTCCTCTTATCTCCAAAAGGCACCTAAGTATGTCTCTGTGCCAGAATAAGTACACAACAGTGGCATATGCTATCTCTGGCTGTGCTCTAAATCTACATATACTCTATCCCTATTCCCAGCATTGTACTTTCTCTCTGATGAAGCATGAAGCAGGTCACCATGAGTGCAGCTGACTAATTAACTGTGCAGTAAACATCTCGGTGTCTACACATGTGCCCCTATTAGGGTGTGTGAAAAGAATAAAGTCCACAGCAATACAAGTAAAACATAAATACTATCCTGCTGTGGAGTGTTTTCATGCGCACTAGCACATGGGTAGGCACTACCCCAACTGGCCGGGACACAGGGTGCTTCAATGCAGGGTGAGCTGGCAGGCAGTACCCATGCTGAAGGATCCTTGTGCCCCAGCCAGCCACTCCACAGCATGTGGAGCCCCACTGGAGCAGCCCAGCCAGGTAAGAGACCTGGGGGGTCAGCCTGCCAGCCCAGGGATGCTTTGACCAGGCTCCATGCACTGCAGAGGGGCTGGCTGAAGCATAAGGGTGCTTCAGAGTAGGGTTAGCCAGCAGACAGCACCCATGCTGAAGCACCCTCGGGCGCTAGCTAGCCCCTCCACAGCACGTGGAGCCCAGCTGGAGCAGCCAGCCAGGGTAGTACTTGCTACAGGGTAGCACTTGCTCTGGCTGGGCTCCATGTGCTGTGTATGAATAAACTCTGGAGCAATATGCTCCAGAGTTTTTTGCTTGCAGGCACACGTGTAGACATGCCCTGTTCGTGTAAATTTCTGTCACTCAGCTACCCCAAAAGAGGAACCTTTAAAAACAGTGGCTCTCTCACTCTGCTGCTTCTTGGTGTTTCACAAAATAAAAAGAGCTTTTCACACCTTTGCATGGTTCACTGAGAAGTCAGCTCCACTCATATTTGTGGTGAGATTTCCAGAGGTGCAAAATTATCCACAAAAGAGGGGAGGAGGAAGGAGCAGGCAGTGCGTACATGCCTCTATTTGTTTAATGTGTGAAACCTGGATGTTCCTGCATGAAAAACCATATTACATGTTTGAAATGTATGCCCGTATGGCCAAACAAGTACTAGGTTGCCCGGCATGTGTTATGAGTGAGTGTTAAGCTATCAAAATGGTGAAAGATCATGATGAATATATCCAAAGGATTTTAACAATCAAAGCAGACTCCTATGTCTATTTAGTATATTATAAGATGAATAGGAAAGCATCAGTACCTCAGTAGCTATTTTTTTCTTCTGTTCTCCCACAGCTTCAGCTCCAGGGCTGCTTGGGGCTGCTGACAGTATTTGAAAACAGTCTTTGCACACCCGATTGTGACGGCTGTTATCTGCAAGTGGCTTAAATTCAGAACATTTGGCACAGATAACCTGCATGAGAGAGAGAATGCTTTATTCTTCAGTCTTTAGTAAACCAAATTAACTTTTATTAATGGCTTTGGTTAGTGCAAGCTGCTGAAATAAAATTCTGCAACCTTTCAGGCACAAGACAGCAGCAGGTGTCATGTATCTTTTATATGTATATGTCTGGGGGGAAAAAATGCTGTATCCATCAGAGCTTAAGGAACAATTGTTGCAGTCTTATGTCCTGTTCCAAGATACTAACTAAACAAAACATTTCCAACCACTAACAAAGTGATGTTACATGAAAAAGCTTTTGGAATCTTAATTTTCAAGGTGATTCATTGTTTTGAAAGTCCACACTGAGATACATCAAAGAAAACTAGTAATCGGAGTGGTGAGAATGCAGGGCATGGGTGTACCATACTTTTTGAAAATCAGGTTTAAGGTATTTGGTACTCAACATCTGAAAAAAGCATTTAAAAAAATCACTAGACACTTTTGAGAGTATAGGCTAATACGTTAAAAATACATGACCAGCCTGATACCAAATTAGTCCATTTTTTCCTGATTTGTCATGAACAACGAATTATACATTAGTCTCATAAAATTAGTGCCTATGAAAAGTGTTGGATTTAGGGCTCTAGAGTATGATTTCCCATCTGAAATTCCATGTTAGTAACTGCTGTTGCAGACTATTGTGATGAAGGGATCAACCCTTTGTGCTCACAATACAGGAGTCATCAGTAGGATTTGTCTTCAAATCCCATTTTATTATACAATAATGCAACAGGAACGCTCTTCAGCCAGAAGAATATATTCTCACAGGCAGACCTATAGGATATTCATTACTATACATTCCTCCTGTTAAATGCCCCATATAAAAGTGTTAAATGCCGCATCATTTTTCTGAAATGCGCAAACAAAAGCAGTTGTTTTTTAATATGAACGTCCTAGCTTAAGGCAAATTAACTTCTTTCATTTGCATATTACTGCCACATGAGTAAGCATTGCATAACAAACAATTGTTTATTTAACTTTAAATTATTAATAACCTAATTCTTTTTATTGTCTTTGTGTCCATGACGGAGGTTTTTATTTGATTTTTTAAAAATAAAATTGAGCTTTGATATAACAATTCAACCCCAAAGAAAATGAATGTGATGACTGCAGTAATTATTTAAAAAACCCTGAAGCTTCAAGAGCACTTGCTCCTGTTTGACTGTGTAATCCTTCTCTGTAATTTTATTTCTAAGACTAAAGCTTTTAAAAAGGTTTTTAAAAATATCTCCTTACCTGCATCCCTCTCTTCAGACCAAATTTACCTCCATTTCACATCATATGAACAAGATTATTTTTAAACTACTTAAATCAGGAATACCAAACTGTGAAACTAACAGCACAGAAGAAGGCTGCAGGTCATAAAGAAACTAATCTCATACAGGGTTCGAATTACAGGGGAGCTTGAGCCCCCCATAAAACAAGAGCCCCCCCATAAGATTTGAAAATCATAACCTGAGGAAGTCTCTGATTTTTATTAGGGCATCGTGATGGGCAGCCCAATTTATTTAGCAGATCCTCCAAAGAGACAAATTGAAATTCAAACCCTGATCTCATGCTATTTTAGGCTGGGAATTTTCAGGAGAACCTAAGAGAATTAGGAATCCAAATAGCACTGAAATTAAATTGGAGATGGGCTCTTAACTCCTTTAATATCCAGGCATTAAGCTACTACCACTGGATTCTCCAGACCTTTTAAGTGCAGCAGGCAACCTTCTTAGGCAAAAAGCACCACGCCTCTCTTTTCACACAAGGGAAAATGCAATCTCATCACTTTACCATTGTATATTCAGGCCTTCTGTGAGCTTCTGAATATATTGTATATTCAGGTCTCCTTTGAGCATATCAATCAGAACTAGAGAATTGCTATGAAATGAGTGCTAACACAGGAACGTTCTGGACTGTTTATTCCATTGTTGGTTAATGTTTATGACACATTAGCTCTGTAGGTAAAAACAAACCTGTTCAAAATACTGTAAACTATAAAAACCTAAGGGAGAGGAATCTTTTTTTCAGCAGTGTGATACATGTCTCCTCAACACCTCCATCCAAGAATACAGTTCTGTTTTGACTCCCAATGGACAGCACAACTTGAAAGATCTGTTCTATCATGAGTCTGCTGTGCACTCCAGTGCCCTTCAGCCAAATTGCTGAAAAATCAAAAGCTCTTTCTGAGGTCCAAAAACTACCCAAATGCTTGGGATCTGATATTAAATTTAAATTGTTTCATCTGCACTAACTGAACTGACAGAAATGAAACGTTTGCTAGAGTTTGCTTCCGATACTCACTGCCCCACACTGTTTGCAATGGTGCCGCCTCTTGGTGATGGAGTTGAAGCTCTCGTTGCAGCTTTTGCAAGCTTGCTTTTCCTTGTCTCGCTTGGATTTGGATGATTTTCTGCAAGGATCAGCCTGAAACAAAATGTATAAATGGAGGACTCTGTATAACAATTGCATATTGCAAAATAATTCTCTGTCACTCAGTTTTACCATATTTATTAAGTTCTTCCCAGTGTATGTTCCTCATACAGACATGCTTAAGGAAACTCTTCTCTTGTCAGTGATACGTATAGCCTGAGACTGCAGTGGACAAATGATACATCAGCTCATCCAGTGCTGATTGGCCCTATAAGGCTCTAAACAGCATGGTCTGTTCTTCACAGAGGCCATCTCTCCTGTTGTGAGACAGCACAACCATTGAATTACTCCATCTAACAATCTATTGGCAAAAGGAGATGGGTGGGGATGCACAGCAAGGGTGTCTTCTTTCTGGAAATCACACTTCCTCGTTGGTCCAACACGGCCTGAATTGATTTAAACTTGTTGCAGCGTTGATCTATTCCCTTGGTTGTGTAAGGTTTCAATGAAGGTGGGGCAGGTGAGAAGACACACTAGTTGAGAAGCACACTAGTTGAGAACATTTCTGATGCATTGAACAGTTTTGAGGTTGACACTGTCCAACTCGTAAATCTATAGATCTACTTACAGTTGTGGCCAGCATCTGTTTGGTAAATTTAAATACATTAATTCTCGGCTATCTTGACTGCACCTTTTCCTTGGTCAGTGCTGCTGGCTTTAGACTGTCTTTGGTGCCCATGAAAGGAGAGGAGGAAAATTACAGGCATCCACTGCACCCCCCCCACTATTACAGACACTGCAGAGCCCCCTGCTCATAGAAAGTATGCACCAAATTACTCTGGCAAACGCCTCTATTATATCTAGAGAGAGGAAATCTGTCACACTGTACAGTAATGTATGGTAGTTTTATTAGCAAATTCACATCAGATTTACCTCTCTCTCAAAATAAAAACAAATAAAGAGCTGTGTTAATTCATTCCCTCATCCCTTGCTTCAAACTGCTCATAACATTTTGAGAGAAAATGCTGTCTAATAAGTTTTTATGATTTGCCCACAAGTAAAAGCAAGAGCAGAGGCATTTTGTGTTTGTTATGGAGTTTATACGGAGCTCCAGAAATCAATTAAGACAAAGATCTAAGCAGCAATTTCACCACATTTTCAACCTTCATCATTTTGTCAGCAAAGTTTAAAGGAATCTGCATCACCAGATGAAGAAACAAATTGCATTTTGACAGGCTGGCGATTGTACATAGAGGAACACCTGCTCCTCATATCCACTGCCTCTCCCACTCCAACACAGCTTTTCTCCTCAAAAAGTGCTAAGAGATAAATCATGGGGCCTGAGACCTGTCTGCAAAAAGAATTTCAACTTCAAAAACTCTGAAGACCCTAATAAGAAGGAGGAGGAGGAGGAGAGGGGGTTTACAGAGCTGAGAATTTAGAGATAGCAACCAGCATGGTTGAGGAGGCAGCTCACTGATTGCCAGCTAGTGGTACTAGCCCAGAAGGAATCTCACCACTTTTTCAAAGGCACTGTCTCTCATTAGCTCAGTGAAAGTCTATAAATGAGTGATGTCTCTGCAGTGAGAATCAATGGCTGCTTACAGACATTAAACCCCCGCGCAAAAAATGGCACTTTAAACTCAGTGCGCTCCTGCGCTGAGCCCAGCACATGCCCAGAAGAGGCAGCATGTTAGTTGGACCTGGCTCACCCAAGGTCTGTATAGATTGGGCACTTTAGTGAGGCTTTTTTGCTGCTTTTGTCTAATAGCTGATTAAAACAACTAAAAGCCCTGCTGAAGTGTCTGATCTATACAGATGTTGCGGAGCCAGGTCGAACTAATGTGCTGCTTCTTTCGGTAAAGCATAGTTTTGTTTTGTTTTTTAATGTCTGTAAACAGCCAATATGTAGCTGACTTAACTGAGCTTCTGAAGCAGAGAGATATTCAGAGACGAGCTGAATATGCATAACTCCCATTGATTGCAATATAATCTGGGAAGAAACGATAAGTAGACAAGAATTTGAATCCTGAGTCACTCTCATCCCAATGAATTAAAAGGGTTAGGGCCAGGCCTGTCTCTCATTTCTCAAGAAACTCTGGCTTTGCTTCTGACTCATTTTGCTTCTGCTCCCAGCAAAGGCAGTATGGGAAGAAATGTAACTGTCTTTAGTATTTTTATCCCATGGGAAAGTCTTGCCTGAGAGAAACCAACATCAACGTGTTAGGGATATATTGGCTACCCATCACACATTCTTCCTCTAGTCCATGTTTAGCATCTACCCCATCTACTATTAATCTTCTCCCTCCTCTAGACCACAGCAGTCTCCCACAGCGATATTTTTGTCCCTCACCTTT